CTGATGGGTTACAATCTAAATGTTTAATTTCCATTCTCCGTGCCAGAGTCAGGTGAAGAGAGCAGTTAAAAGTAGTTCTCTCTCTAGCCCCACTGAGCCCCAGTCAGACCTACAGTAGTTCTCTCTCAAGCCCCACTGAGCCCCAGTCAGACCTACAGTAGTTCTCTCTCTAGCCCCACTGAGCCCCAGTCAGACCTACAGTAGTTCTCTCTCTAGCCCCACTGAGCCCCAGTCAGACCTACAGTAGTTCTCTCTCTAGCCCCACTGAGCCCCAGTCAGACCTACAGTAGTTCTCTCTCTAGCCTCACTGAGCCCCAGTCAGACATACAGTAGTTCTCTCTCTAGCCCCACTGAGCCCCAGTCAGACCTACAGTAGTTCTCTCTCTAGCCCCACTGAGCCCCAGTCAGACCTACAGTAGTTCTCTCTCTAGCCCCACTGAGCCCCAGTCAGACCTACAGTAGTTCTCTCTCTAGCCCCACTGAGCCCCAGTCAGACCTACAGTAGTTATCTCTCAAGCCCCACTGAGCCCCAGTCAGACCTACAGTAGTTCTCTCTCTAGCCCCACTGAGCCCCAGTCAGACCTACAGTAGTTCTCTCTCTAGCCCCACTGAGCCCCAGTCAGACCTACAGTAGTTCTCTCTCTAGCCCCACTGAGCCCCAGTCAGACCTACAGTAGTTCTCTCTCTAGCCCCACTGAGCCCCAGTCAGACCTACAGTAGTTCTCTCTCTAGCCCCACTGAGCCCCAGTCAGACCTACAGTAGTTCTCTCTCTAGCCCCACTGAGCCCCAGTCAGACCTACAGTAGTTCTCTCTCAAGCCCCACTGAGCCCCAGTCAGACCTACAGTAGTTCTCTCTCTAGCCCCACTGAGCCCCAGTCAGACCTACAGTAGTTCTCTCTCTAGCCCCACTGAGCCCCAGTCAGACATATAATACAGGGTCTTTAAAAGCAGTAGTTCATCCCTGGGGCGGCAAGCTGGAATAAGGCTGTAAAGGACTGGCTCTCTTTCTGTGAGGGGCTGGAATGGGCTAAATCTCACAGAGAAATCAATACTCCAGTCTTCACGAATCGTTTTCAATTATGTATGTAAAGACTCTCTTTAGAGCCTGATCTTTTTCTCTGCTTTTTGGACACTTAAAATGCAGAACCTAAGAGTCTAATTGTGCTTAAATCGAGAGGGAGCAAACAAGTGAACCATACACACGAGTTAAACTAAACATTCTTCAACGTTTAATAAAATACAAAGACCTTAGAGACTTAGATCTTTCTTAGTTTTCAAACACTTTATCTTTTTGTATTTTTCAGACTGTATATGGACTGAGATGGACTGATATGATTGTCATCTTTTTTAAAGGTGTGTAGCAGGGCTCAGAGAGGGTTCAGGGGAAGGATGGAAAGCTATTTCCTTCAGATTTTCTGTTTCTGGTATTATCTTACTGTTCCAGCTGAGTGTATAGGCTCTCTATAGTAATCTCTCTCTTCACACTGTTTCTTGCTGTAAACAAATCATTCTCCTTTCCTCTTTCTCTCTCTTATTCTCTCTCCCTCTTTCTCTCTCTCTGGTGTGTCTGGCGCAAGGTCTTTTAGATTCATCCCTCACAGGTTACTGTGTCCGCAGGGGTCCTGTCTTTAGCGCCGTCACCATTTATCACACACACACACACACACCAGCAGACCGCTGAATACCTACATAGTTCTTGGATCTCTTTGATGGGATTTGACATCCACCCCCTGCCTCCCTAGCTTCCCCTTTACCTGCCATCTCTCTCTCTCTCTCTCTCTCTCTCTCTCTCTCTCTCTCTCTCTCTCTCTCTCTCTCTCTCTCTCTCTCTCTCTCTCTCTCTCTCTCTCTCTCTCTCTCTATCTCTATCGATCTCCCTCCCTCCCTCGGCCGGTGGACACATCACACCATCGCTTCGGTTTCATCATCGCTGTGTCGATTTTAGCCAGAGCATTAGGTTTTTTTGCAGATCTAACAGGTATTGAATCAGCCTATGTTTTGATAGCTAAATGGAACCATGTTATAGTCTGTCTGCCTCAAGGTTGGCACAAAACCTGCCCGTGCTCAGGCCCTTGCTGGGGGTTATGTCTCACAACACACAGCTACACAGACCAATTTCCTGGAACTACACACTCCATTACAGATGCAATTTTTTTACTCTGTCTCCCCTCTCTCAGCTGAAAAGGGCTCTGAGCAGTCCACTCCCAAACACAGCTTCCCGGCCTGACAAAATCAAGTTTATCACCTAGAAACAGGGAAATAAAAGTAGCTAGTTTGAAGTGAACATTCCCCACCTGACTGGGTCCAGTCACAGTGTTGAGAGACTGAACTGAGTCTCTGAGGTGTCAGGGTTGAGTGTGGAGGGCCACACAGGAACTCTTTGAGCAAAGCGCTGTGTGTGGAAGGGCTGCGCTATGAGAGACAGGGTCCCCATAGAGGGCTGTGCAGGGGCCACTGGGGCCTGATGCTTCCTTCAACTGATGGCAGGGGTACCACCCAGAGCATAGACAGGATGAGGCACACACACACACGCTCCCATACACCACCACCACAGGGCTCAGCATCATTCGGTCCCTGTCACACTATCCCCCATCAACGCGTAAGCAGTCTCACACACACACACACACACACACACACACACACACACACACACACACACACACACACACACTGGTGTCTCTGTAGAGAGCTGTATTCTAAGACCACCCCAGGGTGTCTATCTCTGGCCTTACAGAGACTAACTCTCTCAAGCTCCTTTAGTTTCTCTAAGCTGGAGAGAGGGAGTTTATGTAAGTCTTTAAAGAGATACCTTTGGGGGATGAGGAGGCCTTGTAAAGTAGGCTGCTGATACAGGAATCGACTGATAAGGTTACACCTACATTTACAGTGCCTTCAGAAAGTATTCAGACACCTTGACTTTTTTCACATTTTGTTGTGTAACAGCCTGAATTTAAAATGGATTAAATTAAGATTTTATGTCACTGGCCTACACACAATACCCCATAATATCGAAGTGGAATTATGTTTTTATACATTTTTACAAATTAATTAAAAATCAAAAGCTGAAATGTCTTGAGTCAATAAGTATTCAACCCCTTTGTTATGGCAAGCCTAAATAAGTTCAGGAGTAAAAATGTGCTTAAGTCACTCACTCTTTGTGCAATAATAGTGTTTAACATGATTTTTGAATGACTACCTCATCTCTGTACCCCACACATACAATTATCTGTAAGTTCCTTCAGTCGAGCCGTGAATGAACACAGATTCAGGGCACCAATTGGTAGATGGGTAAAAATAAAAAAGCAGACATTGAATATTTCTTTGAGCATGGTGAAGTTATTAATTACACTTTGGATGGTATATCAATACACCCAGTCACTACAAAGATGCAGGCGTCCTTCCTAACTCTGTTGCCGGAGAGGAAGGAAACCACTTAGGGATTTCACCATGAGGCCAATGGTAACTTTAAAACAGTTACAGAGTTTAATGGCTGTGATAGGAGAAAACTGAGGATGGCTCAACAATATTGTAGTTACTCCACAATTCGAACCAGCGCCGTTTCAGTTACTGGCCCAACGATCTTAACCTCTAGGCTACCTGCCGCCCAATAAGGCAGTAAAGTAAATCTGCAAAGCATGTGGCAAAGAAATTGACTTTATGTCCTGAATACAAAGCGTTATGTTTGGGGAAAATCCAACACATCACTGAGTACCACTCTTCATATTTTCAAGCATGGTGGTGGCTGCATCATGTTATGGGTATGCTTGTCATCGGCAAGGATTAGAGAGTTTTTTTTTAGGATAAAAAGAAACAGAATACAGTTAATCACAGGCAAAATCCTAGTGGAAAATCTGGTTCAGTCTGCTTTCCAACAGACACTGGGAGACAAATTCACCTTTCAGCAAGACAATAGCCTAAAATGCAAGGCCAAATCTACACTGGAGTTGCTTACCAAGATGACATTGAATGTTCCTGAGTGCCCTAGTTACAGTTTTGACATAAATCGACTTGAAGATCTATGGCAAGACTTGAAAATGGCTGTCTAGCAATGATCAACAACCAACTTGACAGAGCTTGAAAAATGTAATAATAATAATGTGCAAATATTGTACAATCCAGGTGTCCAAAGCTCTTAGAGATTTACCCAGAAAGACTCACAGCTGTAATCGCTGCCAAAGGTGATTCCAACATGTATTGACACAGGGGTGTGAATACTTATGTAAATGAGAGATTTCTGTATTTCGTTATTAATAAATGTGAAAAAAAATATATTTAATTCATTTCGAATTCAGGCTGTAACACAACAAAATGTGGAATAAGTCAAGGGGTATGAATACTTTCTGAAGGCACTGTAGCTACTGTACCTGTCCACTATACAACTGGCCAGGATATAAAGCATTTTCATACCTGACTCGGCATATGTGGCGGTGTAGGAAAACTCCAATGCATGATCAAGAAGTGTGTCACAGCTTTTATGCTTACTGACTGTATCTCTTTATTTGATTTAATACATTTAGAGGGATAAGTACAAAGACATGTCAGTCCATTTATATCACTGATGTAATAATATTTGATATTTTGAGACCTGTATGTACAATCTGGCTGACACAAACCCACAGAGTTGAGATGGGTGTGTTGGGATCCTTTTAGAATTCACAGCAAAGCAATACCACATGAAGCATATTAGGCAATATAATACTTAATCAAAATCAATTTGTTTTAATTACATTATTGTTACTGTGACACCTTGAGGGAGAAATAGATTAAAACGTGTTGTCTTTTTTATTTAATTAAAACATGTCATTAAAAAGGATAATGAGTCTGTGAAACCAAACATTAGGATTTGATTGCTGTTCTCGTGTTGGGAGGTAGTATTTAGATATGTACAAAACTACTTATTATCACTGAAATAATTGGCTCAAATTAGCATCTTCTTTCCCCAACTCTCCATAGTCTGTTTGCTAATAAAGAGCTTCTGTTCTTCCCACTTATTAATTAGACTGGTAGCAAGTCAGAGGAGGGGAGGGAAGAAAGAGGTGGAGATGGGGAAGAGAGAAGAGAGGTGGAGATGGGGAAGAGAGAAGAGAGGTGGGGAGAGAAAAAGGGGGTGTTTTTCTTCTCTATATTTGGTACTGCTGTGTTTTGAATTTATTAGACAGACACCAATTAAAGGCTTTTGTTGGTTGAGGAGACAGGGCTGGGAGTGACAATAGACCATCTATTCCTTGCAAATACTACTTATTTTAATGCAACACTCTTGAGTAAGACAAACTGCCCAAGGACAAAGGGTATGTGGAGGTCAAAGTGCATACAGAAGTCAGAGTCATATTGTTGATTGATGTGTCTAGACTGAAGGGCAGGTATTGTGTTGTTGTTGAGCTGATTTAAAACCATTTTCCTCAGCAGGTAATTTGATTCAGGGAGCTTGGTGTTAGATGGTCCTTGGTCACTCTACAGCCGTCACACACACACACACCCCCTCCCTGTGTGTGCGTGTCAGTGTAATAGAGGGTAGAGCCAGAGGTCGGGGCTAAACACCTCCAATAGACTTCTATTCCAACAACACAGAGGCAGGTGACCTGCTGACCTCATGAAGCACTTACAGGGCTGTCACCCTCGTCACATGACGTGGGAGTCACAGAGCTGGGGTACAGGTGGTTAGTGATGGGTTCAAGTGAGGTTTGAACTGTTTAGTAACGGCCCTGCTCCTCTCTTTTATTTTCTAACGTTGGACTTCTTTTAGCCTTATACACTACATTACCAAAAGTATTGGACAACTGCATGTCGAACATCTCATTCCAAAATCATGGGCATTAATATGGAGTTGGTCCCCCGTTTGATGCTAGATGTTGGAACATCACAGCTATTTTCAGGTCTCTCCAGAGATGTTCGATCAGGTTCAAGTCCAGGCTCTGGCTGGGCCACTCAAGGACATTCAGAGACTTGTGGCCCAGCCAGAGCCTGGACTTGAACCTGATCGAACATCTCTGGAGAGACCTGAAAATAGCTGTGCAGCAAAGCTCCCCATCCAAGCTGCAGAGAAGAATGGGAGAAACTCCCCAAATACAGGTGTGCCAAGCTTGTAGCGTCATACCCAAGAAGACTCGATGCTGTAATTGCTGCCAAAGGTGCTTCAACAAAGTACTGAGTAAAGGGTCTGAATACTTATGTAAATTTCCATTTTCTATTCATAATACATTTGCAAACATTTCTAAAAACCTGTTTTTGCTTCATCTTTATGGGGTATTGTGTGTAGATTGATGAGGGAAAAAAAACAATTTAATACATTTTAGAATAAGGCTGTAACCTTACAAAATGTGGAAAAAGTCAAGGGGTCTGAATACTTTCCGAAGGCACTGTACTTGTTGTAAAAGTGGCATCCTATGACGGTGCCACGTTGAAAGTCACTGAGCTCTTCAGTGAGGCCATTCTACTGCCAATGTATGTCTATGGAGATTGCATGGCGGTGTGCTCGATTTTATACGCCTGTCAGCAAAGGGTGTGGCTGAAATAGCCGAATCCACTAATTTGAAGGGGTATCCACATACTTTTGTATATATGGTGTATCTATAGGTTTTAGTATTTTAACAGCTCACTAACATTCATTTTTTCCTTTCTTACTCTCCTCCCGTCCTCCCCTCCTCCTCTCCTCTCCTCTCTCCTCCTCCCCGCCTCCTCTCCTCTCCAGTGGGATGCTATAACAGAGATGGATGAACACAACCGTCCCATCCATACCTTCCAGGTGTGTCACGTGATGGAACCCAACCAGAACAACTGGCTACGCTCCAACTGGATCTTCCGCCAGGCCGCACAGAAGGTGTGTAGTGGTTCTGAGCATGGGTTGGAACATGGTGCTGGTAACACCTAGGTTGCGGGTTCAATTCCCACATGGGCCACATACTAACCAATTGTATTTCCTGTAAGTGGCTTTGAATAAAACATCAGCAACTTTACTGTGTTTATTATTTATCCAAGGTGTATGTGGAGCTGCGGTTTACTCTGAGAGACTGTAACTCCATCCCCTGGGTGTCTGGGACCTGCAAGGAGACCTTCAACCTCTTCTACTATGAGACAGACGAGTCCCACGGGGTCAAGTTCAAACCCGCCCAGTACACCAAGATCGACACCATCGCAGCCGACGAGAGCTTCACCCAGATGGACCTGGGAGACCGCATCCTCAAGCTCAACACGGAGGTCCATCACCTCAATTAACTCAATAAAAATAATATGTGACTTATAGCCTGAGTGCCAGTCTGTTTCTGCCCTCTTGCCAACTCCTATTTTTTGGCATGGCAATTCCATAAAGAGTTGGCAAGACAGCAGAAACAGAATGGTGCCCATGCTACTTGATTTAGGGGCAATTGTGTAGGCACTGCATACTAGGGACATGTTGTTGTGAAATACATGCGAAAATCCATTTAATCAATTTCAATTCAATTAACTTTATTGATCCCCAATGGGCAATCATTGACCATGTCAATGTTTTCTATAGGTACGGGAAGTGGGTCCTATCTCCAGGAAGGGTTTCTACCTGGCGTTCCAGGACATTGGGGCGTGCATTGCCCTGGTCTCTGTCAGGGTGTACTATAAGAAGTGTCCCTTCACCCTGAGGAACCTGGCCTCCTTCCCCGACACCGTGCCCCGGGTCGACTCATCCTCCCTGGTGGAGGTCAGGGGAGCGTGTGTGGAGCACGCCGAGGAGAGGGACACGCCCAAACTGTACTGCGGCGCCGACGGTGACTGGCTGGTGCCGTTGGGGAAGTGTGTCTGTAGCCTGGGCTACGAAGAGATGGATGGGGCATGTCTCGGTGAGTCACATGACTTCTGTTCTGACTGGATCTGTCCACCTCTCACTCGCTACCTCTCTCTCGCTACCTCTCTCTCTCTCTCTCTCTACCTCTCGCTACCTCTCTCTCTCTCTCTGTGTCTTCCTCTCTGTCTTTGTCTTTCCCTCCCTTTCATTCTCTCTCTCCATTTCAGTAGCCCCTCACCCTCTCTCTTTCAAACCCTCTTTCAAACCCTCTCCTTCCATGTACTTAGAGTATATCTTTGTATTAATCTGAATCATCTCCTGAAGCTGTATGATATGAATACAGCCTAGCAGTAAACATGAGGTTTGATAGAGTATCAGTATCTGGGTCGTTCCACGAAATTAGTCCCTTTTGCGTGCGTCCCTTTGATATTTTAAGTAGAAATTGTGCACCAATATGGAATTTTAAAAGCCTGTTATATTAAATGAAGTGCCCTTTAATGTAGGAATTCAATACATCAGATTTTTAATATGAATAAAGACTTGTTAAATGATGTCCCTCAGTCAACCCTGTGTCACTTTTAGGAAGATTTTAATCCACTTAACCCCAACATTTCTCAAAGTTTCACCATCATTGTAAAGCCCTAGTCATTTCTGAATATTATTATTTATTTCATGTGATTAGTGATTAGTCTGTCCCTCATTTTAAGTTCAACTCTGTTACGTGATCTGAACTCTCGTTTGAATATGGTGAAACTATTCCTTTTAAAATATTTTTTTCAAAAGTAACATTGAACATCTAATAGTCAAATTATAGTGTATAAGCAGGTAAGCTGGTTTGACTCTTTCTGGCCATTTGGTGGTGGAAAACTGAGCGGGTCAAGCATAACACGTCAACCCTGTTACCCATAGATAGACAGGCTAGAATAGTTTTAACTATTTATATTATTATTTTCATTCAATTGCCCCTCCCTATTGCACACAACAAGCTTCCATTCCCCCGTCACAGGGAGATTTAAGGCTGATTTAAGATTAAATCGGTCAAACCTGTTACTTTATTTGGCACTTAATAGGCACTTACTATAGTAATTTCGAGATGGGAAAACATGTTTTTTTATTAAGTTGAACACATGCTTTTTATGACAGAATGTTAAAATTAGGTGAAATCAAACGTTTTTTTGGACCAAGTTACATTTCTCAAAAGGCACCGAATTGGTGGAATAACCCATCTGTAGGCTACATATCACCAGTCCTGGCCTGCAGGGGGGATTATTTATGGATTATGTATGGGCCAAGGTGTCTGACTACACAATGAAGAGTGTCAGGTGTTTGAACCACAGCAGCTTTATTCACTGACCTGGATCCAGATAGGTCTCTTTTTCCCTCATCTTTTCTCTCTCTAAATCTCATCCCCCTCTCTCTCTCTTCCCCCCCCCCCTCTATCTCCTTCCCTCACCCCTCCCTCCCTCCCTCACCCCATCTCCATCCCTCTCTTTTATTTGTCGTCCTGCAGTATAGGTGCGGTGCAGATAGGCAGAGCCCCATGCATTTTCACAAAGCCAGATGTGTCATCCCCTATCCTTCATTATCTACCTCCTGTCATTCCTCCTTCATCCCTTCTTCTCTCCTGTCTCCTCTCCTCCTCCTCCTTTCCTCCTTTGTACCAGCCCCCCAACTCTGCCATTCAGATGAGATGTAATGTGAGGGGCTCTGGCTGTGTGGTGCTGATTGTTACTGAAGCTGCAGCTGGATCTGTGGAACAGTAGGGGAGAAAGACGATGTGTGTGTGATATAAGAGAGGCTGTGTCTGATCTGAGAGAGGCTGTGTCTGATATAAGAGAGGCTGTGTCTGATCTGAGAGAGGCTGTGTCTGATATAAGAGAGGCTGTGTCTGATATAAGAGAGGCTGTGTGTGATATAAGAGAGGCTGTGTCAGATATAAGAGAGGCTGTGTCTGATATGAGAGAGGCTGTGTCTGATATAAGAGAGGCTGTGTGTGATATAAGAGAGGCTGTGTTTGATATGAGAGAGGCTGGGTGTGATATGAGAGAGGCTGTGTCTGATCTGAGAGAGGCTGTGTTTGATATGAGAGAGGCTGGGTGTGATATGAGAGAGGCTGTGTCTGATCTGAGAGAGGCTGTGTCTGATCTGAGAGAGGCTGTGTCTGATATGAGAGAGGCTGTGTCTGATCTGAGAGAGGCTGTGTCTGATCTGAGAGGCTGTGTCTGATCTGAGAGAGGCTGTGTCTGATATGAGAGAGGCTGTGTCTGATATGAGAGAGGCTGTGTTTGATATGAGAGAGGATGTGTTTGATATGAGAGAGGCTGTGTCTGATCTGAAAGAGGCTGTGTCTGATATAAGAGAGGATGTGTTTGATATGAGAGAGGCTGTGTCTGATATGAGAGAGGCTGTGTCTGATATGAGAGAGGCTGTGTTTGATATGAGAGAGGCTGTGTCTGATATGAGAGAGGCTGTGTTTGATATGAGAGAGGATGTGTTTGATATGAGAGAGGATGTGTGTGATATGAGAGAGGCTGTGTTTGTATTTGCGATAAGGGATATGAGGCTGTGAAAGATGACAACACAGATAAAGAGTGTTTGTGATATGCACACCACAAATGTATCCACCGGTGCTGGGCCCAAAAAAGTATATGCAACTCCTGTGGTTTTCTTTCTTTGCAGATAAGAGCACAGCATTAATGTATTATACAAACACTATGTTTGGGAATTTGTGGATAGAGAGTGAGGGGTGCTGTCCTTTTCGAGTGTGCTCTACCTCCAGCTGTCATCAGTGTTAGGGATCTGTCTATAGTCTCAGCCTGCTGTCAGTGGTCATGCTGCTGTCTGTCAGTGCTGCTCTCAGTGGCCATGCTGAGCAGCTGGAATAGGACTGATTGGGGAGGGAGACCCATCTGTCTGTCTGTCTTCTGAAGCTGCTTTAACCTTTTACTGCAGTGAGCTAAATCAGGGTCACACAGATCACACACATGGTTATGGGCTTTAAAAAAAGAGGACACCTGTACCATGTCAGATATAGAGCTGAAATATATTCAATGTTGAGTTTGCATCCCAATATTACACTTTATAAACATCACAGCAGACTGACATTTAACAAAACTGTTTGACATAGAAACACCGGATTTTCGTCGGAAATCTTTATTAATGATAAAATTATGAACAATATTAATAACATTCCACCCATGATGCCAAAGAGGGTGCTTTTGGTCATTGACTGCAGGAAAGGTCTACAGGACAAGTTTTCTTTTTTTCAACCAGATCTCTATTTTTGATGTACTGTAAATGGCATGTTATAGAAGGGTCCAGACACCTTTTTTTGTGATTTCACTTGTTTTTGAGAAACTTACCCGAAACAGCAAATCACTTCCTCATCCTCGTTGTGTAGTATGGGGCTCCTGAAAAAACATGAACAAACGCTCCAAAAACACCCAAATACTGTACGTCCTTTTAGAAACGTCAAAGCTCTAAGTATGGTGATGCAGGTCTTTAGATGTTGTACACATGAAATTGTGTCATTCCGAACTTTATCGGCAATGTTATTTTCCCTTTTGTGCGACTCGAGACCAATGTTCCCTCTAAGCTGCGTGCGGGCGCACAGCTCCCCGGGATTGCCGCTCAGCCCATGCGAAGAAGCACAAGATTGAACTTCACTCAACTTTCTAGAGTTTTCCCCCTTAGTTAACACTATCAACATTTCCCTTTACTGTGGGAACTGTGATCGAATCAACACAATATTAGGCACTTTCAATGCAACATACCGAAACAAAACGAACTATGCAAGACTTTAGTATGCAAAACTAACTATGCATGAGATTTTGTTGTAGGCAGAACGCATCAGAGTAGGATTCTATTGCATTGACAGGCACCACTCAGCCCCTACTCTACACATCGGAGTAGGATTATATTGCATTGACAGGCACCACTCAGCCCCTACTCTACACAGACCAGTGCGCCATAACCAATCAGAGCTACAGTAGGCCTATATGCAAATAGACCATTGCCATATACAGTGGCTTGCAAAAGTATTCACCCCCCTTGGCATTTTTCCTATTTTTGATTTTTTGGGGGGGTTTGTATCATTTGATTTACACAACATGCCTACCACTTTGAAGATGCAAAATATTTTTTATTGTGAAACAAACAAAAATTAAGACAAAAAGACAGAAAACTTGAGTGTGCATAACATATCCAGCTCCTTCAAGTTGGATGGGTTCTGCTGGTGTACAGCAATCTTTAAGTCATACCAGAGATTCTCAATTGGATTGAGGTCTGGGCTTTGACTAGGCCATTCCAAGACATTTAAATTTTTCCCCTTAAACCACTCGAGTGTTGCTTTAGCAGTATGCTTAGGGTCATTGTCCTGCTGGAAGGTGAACCTCCGTCCCAGTCTCAAATCTCTGGAAGACTGAAACAGGTTTCCCTAAAGAATTTCCCTGTATTCAGCGCCATCCTTCAATTGTGACCAATTTCCCAGTCCCTGTCGATGAAAAACATACCCAAAGCATGATGCTGCCACCACCATGCTTCACTGTGGGGATGGTGTTCTCGGGGTGATGAGAGGTGTTGGGTTTGCGCCAGACATAGCGTTTTCCTTGATGGCCAAAAAGCTAAATTTTAGTCTCATCTGACCAGAGTACCTTCTTCCATATGTTTGGGGAGTCTCCCACATGCCTTTTGGCGAACACCAAACGTGTTTGCTTATTTCTTTCTTTATGCAATGGCTTTTTTCTGGCCACTCTTCCGTAAAGCCCAGCTCTGTGGAGTGTATGGCTTAAAGTGGTCCTATGGACAGATACTCCAATCTCCGCTGTGGAGCTTTGCAGCTCCTTCAGGGTTATCTTTAGTATCTTTGTTGCCTCTCTGATTAATGCCCTCCTTGCCTGGTCCGTGAGTTTTGGTGGGCGGCCAAAAAAAAAATCCAGAAAATCACATTGTAGGATTTTTAATGAATTTATTTGCAAATTATGGTGGAAAATAAGTATTTGGTCACCTACAAACAAGCAAGATTTCTGGCTCTCACAGACCTGTAACTTCTTCTTTAAGGAGGCTCCTCTGTCCTCCACTCGTTACCTGTATTAATGGCACCTGTTTGAACGTGTTATCAGTATAAAAGACACCTGTCCACAACCTCAAACAGTCACACTCCAAACTCCACTATGGCCAAGACCAAAGAGCTGTCAAAGGACACCAGAAACAAAATTGTAGACCTGCACCAGGCTGGGAAGACTGAATCTGCAATAGGTAAGCAGCTTGGTTTGAAGAAATCAACTGTGGGAGCAATTATTAGGAAATGGAAGACATACAAGACTACTGATAATCTCCCTCGATCTGGGGCTCCACGCAAGATCTCACCCCGTGGGGTCAAAATGATCACAAGAACGGTGAGCAAAAATCCCAGAACCACACGGGGGGACCTAGTGAATGACCTGCAGAGAGCTGGGACCAAAGTAACAAAGCCTACCATCAGTAACACACTACGCCGCCAGGGACTCAAATCCTGCAGTGCCAGACGTGTCCCCCTGCTTAAGCCAGTACATGTCCAGGCCCGTCTGAAGTTTGCTAGAGTGCATTTGGATGATCCAGAAGAGGATTGGGAGAATGTCATATGATCAGATGAAACCAAAATAGAACTTTTTGGTAAAAACTCAACTCGTCGTGTTTGGAGGACAAAGAATGCTGAGTTGCATCCAAAGAACACCATACCTACTGTGAAGCATGGGGGTGGAAACATCATGCTTTGGGGCTGTTTTTCTGCAAAGGCACCAGGACGACTGATCCGTGTAAAGGAAAGAATGAATGGGGCCATGTATCGTGAGATTTTGAGTGAAAACCTGCTTCCATCAGCAAGGGCATTGAAGATGAAACGTGGCTGGGTCTTTCAGCATGACAATGATCCCAAACACACCGCCCGGGCAACGAAGGAGTGGCTTCGTAAGAAGCATTTCAAGGTCCTGGAGTGGCCTAGCCAGTCTCCAGATCTCAACCCCATAGAAAATCTTTGGAGGGAGTTGAAAGTCTGTGTTGCCCAGCGACAGCCCCAAAACATCACTGCTCTAGAGGAGATCTGCATGGAGGAATGGGCCAAAATACCAGCAACAGTGTGTGAAAACCTTGTGAAGACTTACAGAAAACGTTTGACCTGTGTCATTGCCAACAAAGGGTATATAACAAAGTATTGAGAAACTTTTATTATTGACCAAATACTTATTTTCCACCATAATTTGCAAATAAATTCATTAAAAATCCTACAATGTGATTTTCTGGATTTTCTTTCCTCATTTTGTCTGTCATAGTTGACGTGTACCTATGATGAAAATTACAGGCCTCTCTCATCTTTTTAAGTGGGAGAACTTGCACAATTGGTGGCTGACTAAATACTTTTTTCCCCACTGTATGCACTCACTAACTGTAAGTCGCTCTGGATAAGAGCATCTGCTAAGTGACTAAAATGTAAAAATTGTAATGTTTTCAATATACTTTGTATCTAAAATGGAATATAACGTTGTGCATAAAGTTCGGAATGACACAATTTCATGTGTACAACATCTAAAGACCTACATCACTATACTGAGAGCGTGTCAGTTTCTAAAAGGGCATATTTGTGTGTTTTTTGAGCTTTTGTTAATGATTTTTCAGGGGTCCCATACTACACAAAGAGGATAAGGAAGTGATTTTCTCTTT